TGTGCTAGGCACTGAACTGTATTAGGTATATAACATGAATGAAACATAGCTCTGACCTAGTAACCACTTTATTGTTTGTAAACCTCTAAAGACTTCCCTTTGCTAATATTAAACCTTTTCAAATTATACTCTATGCTTCAGAGAAACTGAATAACACAGTAACTTTTGCTTTCTTTTCTCTGTGCCTTTGCTCATGTGGTTCCTTCTGGAATGCCTGCCCCTACACATGCGCACCCACTACTCCCAATATGTTATAAATCCTTAAAGCTCCAGCCTCAAATATCATTTTCTCCATAAAATTTTCCCTGATTCTCCTAATCTAGTGAGATTTTTTTTCCTTTATAAATACTTAGAGAATTTCATCAGAAAAATACCTTCTAGTACTAATGTCCTATTCTACATTGTGTATATCGATCACCTCTTTCAGGGAAGGAGGATTCGAGACCTGATCATCACATCAGCACAGTGTCCAGGACAGTGTCTTACATGGCCGGCACTAAATAATACTTAGTGAATGTCCTAAAAGAGTATACATTCTAATAAGAGATACAGAGTCATCAGAAACAAATGTTGGGAGACTTCAGGAGGGTCCTGATGAGTTTGGGTATACTTCAGAATATTCCTGATTGGTCCAGAAGAGTTGGCAAGCTTAGGTGCACGGCAGGGAGTAGGAAGATAGGGGCAGGAATGAGGCAAACTACTAAATAGTTATCCTACTATAACAGTGATGCCTCCTGCAGTCAGGGTAGCAGCTATTATCTAGCTATGCTGAGGAGCTCTTTCTTTCAACCTAATTCCACATAGTAGCTTTAGAGAGAGAGGCTGGGCCCTTAGGAACTGCCTACCATGAAATATGGCTTGTATTACCATAAGACGTTCTCAGTTTTTCCCAAATTAAAATATCATTTTTCAAACCTTTCTTCTTCTTCTTCTAGTCCTAATCTCTCTCCTATCCTTCACAGCCAAATTTCTCAAAAGAATAGTCGAATAGTGCAATAGTCCACTAATATTCTTTAGTGTGTGATTGAACACATTGGACTATTCTATTATCATTTCACCATCTTCCACTCTACCCACTTCAATAAGGTCACTAATGATTTCCATTTTAGTAAAATATAATGATCATTTTAAAATTATCATCTCACCTGCCCTCACAGCCACATTCAACACTACTGCTACTTCCTCCCCCTGGCTTCTGTGACATTATGTTCTCTTGGTTTTCCTTTTCTCTTTCTCTCTCTGCTCTATGTTTCCTTTGGAAGTTCATGATCCTCTAGCTGGCCTACGCCTATTCCTAACCCTCTTTTCTTCTCATGCTATGCTCCCTTCCTAAGTGATTTCATCCATGTCCATGTCTTCAGTCACCATCCATATATCAATGATCACAAATTTTTATCTTAAGCATAGTCCTATTATCCTCTGAGCTCCAAGTACAAATATAAAACTTCCTTCTTTAAGACATTTTAACCTGGATATCTTAAAAGCACCTCAAATTCAGCATATCTCAAACTGAACTCTGGATCTCACCTCCACAAACTCAGTGTTCCCTATCTTATTATTACCTATCCTGTTGCTCCAACCAGAAATGTAATTCCTGACACTTTTCCACACCTCAGCCCCAAGGTTCACACACCAAATCCTGAGATTTTGCCTGCTAAATCCTTCTCTAATTTATCTACTTTTCTCCATTGCCACTGTCAATACCCTAGTCCAAATTACCATTATTTCTTACTTGGATTACTATAATACCCTCCCTTACCTGCTCTCTCTGTGTGTGTACTAAACTCACACACTACATCCAGAGTTATCTTTTCAAAAGGCAATTTATCATGTCATTCTCCTACTTAAAACCCTTTGGTAGTTAGGACTATGACAGATTATTTTGAAAAATGGACACAGTTATTCCCTTCCCTGTATACACATCTCTTTGTAAAGTGACTTTGCAGCTCCTCCCATCAAGAGGTAGAGTTTATTTTCCCACCCCATGAATCTGGGCTGGTTTGTGACTGCTTTGACTAAAAGAACGTGGTCGGAATGTTGCTGTTTCAGCCCTTTCTCCAATATACAAAATTAAGAGGCCAGCCCCGTGGTGTAGCGGTTAAGTTTGGTGCACTCCACTTCGGCAGCCCGGGTTTGTGGGTTCAGATCCCAGGCGTGGACCTATACCACTCGTCAGCCATGCTGTGGTGGTGACCCACATACAAAATAGAGGAAGAGTAGCGCAAATGTTAGCTCAGGGCTAATCTTCCTCAAGCGAAAAATAAAATAAAATAAAATAAAGAGGAAGATTGTCAGTGGATGTTAGCTCAGGGAGAATCTTCCTCAAGTGAAAAATAAAATAAAAAAAAGAGGAAGATTGTCAGTGGATGTTAGCTCAGGGAGAATCTTCCTCAGCAAAAAAAAAAAAAAAGGTCTCACTTGGCTCTGCCCATAAAAACTCCATGCCAGAGTACATTCAAACACAAGATGACACTCTGGCTCCATTAATGTCTTCTTCCAACAAATTTATTGGACTACTGTAATAGTCCAGAGCAATAAAGGGTTATAGATATTATCTACAAGTCTCTATAGTATACAGGCAAGCACAAAGGAAGAAAGGCCAATTCTGCCTAGTGCAAAGAGAGTCAGAAAAACCTTCATAGAGAAGTGATATTCGAGCTAAGGCTTGAAAGAACAGCAGGTATTTAGCTAGGGAAAGAAGGGTAACTTTGGCAAGGGAGTGCCAGGAATGGTGAAAGCAAAAGGACAGAGGTGTAAAAAAGGATGCAGAAGTCAGAGAAGTATAAGCGACTCTCCATGGCTGTATGTGGAGTGCTGAGAATGGGGTTGTATTGGCAGAATGGTGAGATATAAGGTGAGAGGGGTAAGCATAGTTAGATGCTGACTGATGGTCTTAGGAATTTGTGCTTTATCCTATAAGCAATGTGTTTATAGGTATAGGGGAAAGAAGTAGTCGAAAGCAAAGCTGAAAATTCTGGAGAGTATTGGAAAAACTGATGGAGCAAGGTTCCAGGGAAGGCAGAGGAGAATGGGGTAAAAGACATAAGTGAAGGGCCCGCCCCGTGGCTTAGCGGTTAAGCGCACGCACTCTGCTACTGGCGGCCCGGGTTCGGATCCCGGGCGCACACCGACGCACCGCTTCTCCAGCCATGCTGAGGCCGCGTCCCACATACAGCAACTAGAAGGATGTGCAACTATGACATACAACTATCTACTGGGGCTTTGGGGAAAAAAAAAAAAGGAGGAGAATTGGCAATAGATGTTAGCTCAGAGCCGGTCTTCCTCAGCAAAAAGAGAGAACGATTAGCATGGATGTTAGCTCAGGGCTGATCTTCCTCACAAAAAAAATAATAAAATAAAATAAAAGATATCCTTTAGAAGCTTGTTTTAATATTTTCATTACCCCTCCAGTAAAAAACCTTGACTAGTATTCAAAAGAAAACAACATAACATTGGAGAAAAGCTACATGATCTTCTTATTACATATTTGGCACAAATAACTTTTACTTATGAATTATTAAAAACACATGTCTTTCAGAAATAAAACAGGCATTTTAGAGCTGGAAAAGGGGGTCTTTAAAGAACAACTAAGCCAAGTTCAGCTGGGGAAACTGAGGCTTATAGAAGCAAGTGATTTGCTCAAGGTCATATAACTGGTTTGTCTCAAGACTAAATTTCAAATTCTCTGGACTTGAATTTCTAGTACCATGCTCTTTCTACCACCAACATTCTTTTCCACCACATATAATGCCTATCCAAATCTGTTTACGCATCAATTCGACAGGTGGGGAAGGTGTTGTGCTTTCTCCAAATCTACTGGGGTACTAAGAATCTGGGCCCACTGGAGTAAAGTTACCAGTACTACCTGACAACTGAACAGCTTGCTGGGGAGACTGCCCCTGACTATAGGCTTAGCAGGACTCCTACTCCAACAAGTGTCTCATACTATCTCACTTCCCAGGACTAAATATGCCCAAAGCCCAACAAAACAGAACCCTCTCTTTGCAGTCAAGCAAACACTTCCTCCTCTCTCAGAAAGGGAGAAAAGAGATGGGAGGTACACTCCACCATCAGTGTCCTTTTCTCCTACAACCAGCACTAGAGAAAAGAAACTTGAAAACAAGAGATTTCCAGCTCTCTTATATAACAAAATCTTCCTCAGCAAAAAAGAGGAAGATTGGCCACGGATATTAGGTTATGGCTGATCTCCCTCACAAAAAAAAAAAAAAAAGAGGAAGATTGGCAACTGTGACATACAACTATCTACTGGGGCTTTGGGGGGAAAAAATAAAATAAATAAAATCTTTAAAAAAAAAAAAAAAAAAAAAGGAAGTATTGTATTCTCATATTCAAAAAGGGTTGGAAAATCTGAATCTAATTTGCTTTTACCCACCATCTCACTGAGGCCAGGAGGAGCACAGTGCCCCCACAGGGTCATAGGAATGCGGGGACGAACACTTTAACTGCTCATTTATCCTGCCATCGTTCAAAGATCCTGAATCACTGGGGTGTAGATTACAATCAAAAGAATGGAGGGGAAAAATCTGTCAACAACCAAAAATGCAACCTAGTCTTAGGAAACTCGGGGAAGATTTGGTCTTAAGGGCCCCAGTGCTTACCCAAGGCTCCGAGCTCAACACCTATGAGGGAAAAATACACCTCCATCTGCTCTTCATTTTCACCTTACCTCTAGCTGTCCATATTCTTTGCTCCCATCATGCCCAAACCTTGCTTTCTTTGGCAGGGACCACTGGGACTAAGGCATTTACTAACATTCCACCATATGGAGCCATAAGCTAGTTCCCAGGGAGGTTAAAGAGAAAGCAGGAGACAGTCTCCACTCTCTGGTTGTAACTATAGAAATATATGACTCTGGCTTCTAAGAACTTAATTTCTAAACCTGCCAATTCTAATACAGTCATGCGTCACTTAACAACGGAGATACATTCTGAGAAATGTGTCATTAGGCGATTTCATTGCTGTGCGAACATTACAGAGTATACTTACACAAACCTAGATGGTATACCCTACTACACACCTAGGCTACATAGTACTAATCTTATGGGAACATCGCTGTATATGCAGTCCATGGTTGACCATTTCGAAATGTCATTATGTGGCACATGACTATAGACCAAGGCATAAATGTCAGTGCCTGATGGATGCATAAATGAGTGAGGTCCCTTTTTTCACATAAAAATAATCACAAGTAGTTCTTTTTTCTGCATTCCAAAGGGCACAATCTCTTTTAAGTCTTTTTTTTTTTTTTGTGAGGAAGATCAGCCCTGAGCTAACATCCATGCTAATCATCCTCTTTTTGCTGAGGAAGACCAGCTCTGAGCTAACATCTATTGCTAATCCTCCTCCTTTTTTTCCCCCAAAGCCCCAGTAGATAGTTGTACGTCATAGTTGCACATCCTTCTAGTTGCTGTATGTGGGATGTGGCCTCAGCACAGCCGGAGAAGCGGTGCCTCGGTGTGTGCCCGGGATCCGAACCCATGCCACCAGTAGCGGAGCGTGCACACTTAACCACTAAGCCACGGGGCCGGCCCCTCAAAGGACACAATCTCTTTACCCTGTGGAGTCTTGTAAATTTAGCAATGCCATACTGTGATACTTTTCAGGTCTTATACCTTAAATCTATCCTGCACACTGCTGTCAGATTGTCTTTCCAGAATCCGGAATTTGAACTATCATTTATCTCCTTAAAAAGTCTTTAATAATTCCCTGGTATTCCACGCCCTCTATTTTTGTACCAACTTAACTTCTCAGTCTTATCTCTTAGTGCTCCCCAACAAAGATCTTCCATTTGGGCCAAACTGTTCCTAAACAAGTCTTGCACACCCTGACTCCACATCTTTGCTCACAACATTCTCCCCACACAGGATTTAGCTTCCCACGTCCCTTTATATATCTGATCCAAATCCATCCTTCAAGGCCAAATTATTCTATTACATTTTTCTGACCACCTCAGTCTCTAGGGATTGATATTATCTCTGAAGTCTTAGAACACTGTTGGCCATAATTGTTCAGTATCTGATATTGTTTGCTATTGTTTGTTAACCTTTTATATGCATGATTTTATCTTCCACCGAGGCTAATGAACTCTTTGAGATCGTCTCCTGCCTCAAGGATCCCCTTAAATACTAAACAGTGGTGTGATGAGAGGAGGAAACTCAATAAACGTTTGCCAGTTGAACAACGTGTTCCTGAAAAGTAGAAAGCATAAACTAATAGAAAAGGCGCAACTCTGTCCCTAATTAGATGAATGATATGGAACAAACTCTTCTTCCTCTGGCTTTCGGCATCATTATCTGAAATGTAGCTGACTGGACTAAATGACCTTCTTGGCAGTCTATGATTCTAAAATATCTACTACAAATAAGATCATATTTTCAATACATTAAGAAAGATTATTTAATTGCATCTTATGGTGAGCTCTTCTAAAATACAAAGAAACTCCCTCTGTTTCCTAACATTTGATTTTGACAAATGGATTCAAAAAAAAAAGAAAAAAACATCCATAACAAACTCTTTACTTCTTTCTTCATAGAAAGACTTCCAGATCTAGTCAGCGATATACTGACTGCTGTAAGAAACAAGCTGTATTAACAAGGTCCCTTCATAGATACTCCTTATGGAGGAGAAAAAGAAAATTCCACTGGGGCTGGCAAACTATAGCCTGCCAGTTTGATGGCCCTGCTGCCTGTTTTTGTAGATAAAAGTTTTATCAGAACACAGCCATGTTCATTTGTTACATATCTATGGATGCTTTTGTGCTGTAACAGCAGAGTTAAATGGATGCAACAGAAATCATATGGTCTTGTTCTATACCACAACATGCATCGCAAAGCGCCAAAGCCCTAGATTATAGACCCTTAATCACAGCTGGTCACTAGGTGACTTCCCACTCATTCATTCAACAAATATTTATTGAGATTTCTTATTTCTAACTAAATCTTCATTCAATTTCCTCATCTGTAAAATGGCACATAATAGTATCTACTTCACAGGGTTATTGTAAGAAGCCTTTAACACAATGCCTGGCACAAAATTTGAAAAACAATAGCTGCTATCATCATCAACCTTTCCTGAGGTCCTAGGAAAAGCAGGCTCTCTCTGATGGCCACGATCACCTAAGTGAAAGGCGAGAACCCTAGCATCCCTGAGGCTTGACTTCATACTTGAGAAAGAGCTTTATTTTGCCAGCACTCAGATTGCAAACACAAACATATAGGGAATGTTCTTTCAATATGAAATAGCAGTTGATCCCACAGCCCTGTCATACCAAAGATAACAAGAACTCAATATCTTTTCCAGAGTTTATCAGGAAAACAAATACGTTTGAATTTATGAACACCTCTCTTGAGAATTTAGAGTTTGCTTGCAGCCCCAAACTCAAGCAACAACATTGAAAGACAATGTGAACGGACAGCTAATTTTCAACAAAGGAGCCAAGAACAAGCAATGGAGAAAGGATAGTCTCTTCAACAAATGGTGCTGGGAAAACGGGACAGCCACGTGCAAAAAAATGAAAGGAGACCATTATCTTACACCATACACAAAAATTAACTCCAAATGGATTAAAAACTTGAATGTAAGACCTGAAACTATGAAACTTCTGGAAGAAAACATAGGCATATGCTCTTCGACATTGATCTTAGCAACATATTTTCAAGCACCATGTCTGACAGGGCAAAAGAAACAATAAAAAAATAAACAAATGGGACTACATCAAACTGAAAAGCTTCTGCACAGCAAAGGAAACCATCAACAAAACAAAAACACAACCTAACAATTGGGAGAAGATATTTGCAAACCATACATCTGATAAGGGGTTAACCTCCAATATATATAAAGAACTCATACATCTCAACAACAAAAAAACTAACAACCCAATTAAAAAATGGGCAAAGGACCTGAACAGACATTTCTCCAAAGAAGATATACAGATGGCCAACAGACACATGAAAAGATGTTCAACATCATTAACTATCAGGGAAATGCAAATCAAAACTACAATGAGATATCACCTCACGCCCGTCAGAATGGCTATAATTAACAAGACAGGAAACAACATGTGTTGGAGAGGATGTGGAGAGAAGGGAACTCTCATACACTGCTGGTGGGAGTGCAAACTGGTGCAGCCACTATGGAAAACAGTATGGAGTTCCTCAAAAAATTAAGGCTAGAACTACCATATGATCCAGCTATTCCACTGCTGGGTATTTATCCAAAGAACATGAAAACACCAATGTGTAAAGATAACATGCACTCCTGTGTTCACTGCAGCGTTATTCACAATAGCCAAGACTTGGAAGCAACCTAACTGCCCATCAAGGGACGAATGGATGAAGAAGATGTGGTATATATACACAATGGAATACTACTCAGCCATAAGAAACAATGAAATCCAGTCATTTGTGACAACATGGATGGATATTGAGGGTATTATGCTAAGTGAAATAAGTCAGAGAGAGAAGGTCAAATACTGTATGATCTCACTCATAAGTAGTAGATAAAAACAACAAACAATCACATAGAGACAGAGATTGGATTGGTGGTTACCAGAGGGGAAGGGGAGAGGGAGGAGGGCGAAAGGGATGATTAGGCACACGTGTGCAGTGATGGATTGTAATTAGCATTTGGGTGGTGAACATGAGAACATGATGTAATCTATGCAGAGATAGAAGTATAATGATGTACACCTGAAATTTACACAATTTTATAAACCAATGTTACTGCAATAAAAAAATAAACAAAACAAAAAAACAAAAAAAAGTATATGGGAGGATGTGCCTAGGTTACATGCAAACACTGTGCCATTTTATATAAAGGACTTGAGCATCCACAGTAGGTATTTTGGTACCTGCAGGGGTCCTGGAACCAATCCCCCGAGGATACTGATGGACAACTGTACGACAAAGAGTAAATTTTACTGTATGTAAATGATGCCTTAATAAACCCAACTTAAAAAAAATCAAGTGCTAGGTAATTAGAAAGTCTAAATGCCCAACAATAGTGGATATGGTTAAATAAATGATGGTATATATTCATATGACAGATGATTATACAGCTATTGAAAACCATGTTAAAAAAAGTAAGAGGACTGTGGTAGTCAGAATAATGGCCCCTCAAAGATGTCCACATCCTAATCCCTGGAACTTGTGAATATGTTACCTTATATGGCAAAAAGGACTTTGCAGATGTGATTAAGTTAAGAATCTTGAGACGGGTAGATTATCCTGGCAGGCCCAATGGTAATTACAATGGTCCTTATAAGAGGGAGACAAATAGTCAGCTAAGTACTTTTTAACTGATAAGTCATTTAATTCTCCAGAATTACTCAGCCCTGAGTGCTCAACTGTCAACCACACAATTAGGCCTGACTGTGACACCACAAATCTAGTGGGCTGCCATATGAGTACTCCAGAGTTTATTCGGTCCTGCAAACATGTCTATGGTGTTGGACAGATGTTGCCTACACTAACTGGAGCTCTCTCCTTCCCCTATGGACACGGCTTGCACCCCTGGAGAATGAGACTCAGAGCGCCAAGCAGCAGTTTCAGGTGCTAGATCCACTTTCTTTACTGCATTCTTTACTGCTCTCCCTGGGGAGCTGGAAAATTTCTTTAAACTCTGATAGACCAAATGACTGTCCCTTTATCAAATATTTACAGAGCAGCACTACTGGGCCACAATCTCTGGTAAGTTGAACAGGAGTGTCTAGTACAGTGGTTTTCAACATAGGCACATTAGAATCACTCAAGGAGCTTTTAAAAAATGTCCGTCCTGTGCCGGATGAATTAAATAAGAATCTCCAGGGGTGGGCCTCAGGCATCAGCATTTTTTAAAACGCTCCCCAGGGTTGAGAACTATTGTCTTGTGAGAAGGGCAGACAAGAAATCAATGTTTACAGTAGTGTGAGGCTGGAAAGACTCCGATTGAACCCATATACATTTTTTGGTACACACTCAGTCAGGCGTTTTTTTGCCTTTTTTTTTTTTTGCTGAGGAAGACTCCCTCTGAACTAACATCTGTTGCCAATCTTCCTCTTTTTGCTTGAGGAAGATTGTTGCTGAGCTAACATTTGTGCCAATCTTCCTCTATTTTGTATGTGGGACGCCGCCACAGCATGGCTTGATGAGTGGTGCATAAGTCTGCACCTGGGCCGCCGAAGCCGCAAACCCTGGGCCGCCGAAGCGGAGCACGTGAACTTAACCATGATGCCACGGGGCCAGCCCCCCAGTCGGGAGTTTTAAGAGGCAAACGTTATTTGATAACATTCATCATAGTTTTTATACAGGCAGAGGCGAATGCAACAGGTTTGTTTTCAGAGAAAGAAAACAACTTAATCACTCAGGCAGTTTAATTCTACAATTGAAAGAACAATCACTCGGAGGGTAAGAAAACTTGCTTTACCAGGCCGTGGCAAACCACAGGAAAAACCATGTTACTGTGTGTTGAAGGTTGGATTCTCCAGAGGTGACCCTGAGACAGAATTTGGGGTGCAAGATGTTTATTAGAGATCAACACCTGTGAAAGGAAGAAGAAGCAAGACTGGGCAGAGGAAAAATGGAACTGAGATGCAGGTTCTATAAAATCTCAGCCAACCCAGTAGGGAGTTTGGGAGCAAGTATTGCCTGTCAGAGTGGCCAGGACTTTACACCCCTCCCTCATTCAGTCATGGGATGTAGGCTGCCCCAGCAAGGGCATGACTTCAGGTAATGTGGCTCTTTACAGATGAGGTAGATTCTGAAGTTGTGACATCTAGAGGCTGTCTGCTGACTACACTTCCTGTAGCTAACTAGCAAGTCTTTCCTTGAAGGGGGACCTAGGCAGTGTATCTCTATGTCTATCATACAGCACTACAGAAATGGACACCATGGGTCAAGAGGTAGTTTCTTTTCTCAGCAATTTATTGTAACCGAGGCCTCTCTCTCTCTAGGAACACAAGAAAGAAAAACCATGGGACTGTTTATTGCCAATGTTTAAACAACAAAAGCCCTTGAAGTTTAATAAGACCATAGGATGACTGAAATGGTTGTTTGTCCAAGATCTCAGCAAAGGCATCCAGCTGAGGCAGGATGCATCCCACATACAGCCACATGACTTCCCCTACTTCAAGGATATGTGGCGAGCAAACTGAGGCTGAAAGGAAAGGAACTGTGCTATATGAGCACTTCTTCTTTTTTTTTTTTTCTGAGGAAGATTTGCCCTGAGCTAATATCTGTGCAATCTTCCTCTATTCTGTATGTGGGTTGCTGCCAAGCATAGCTTTGATGAGTGGTGTAGGTCCGCATCCAGGATCTGAACTTGCGAACCCGGGCCACCGAAGTGGAGCGCGCTAAACTTAACCACTATACCACCAGGCCAGCCCTGAGCATATTTTTTTATCCCAAGATGTCTTTCAACTTCATTGTTTCTAAGAAACAGATGTCTCTCAACTTCATGGTTTCTAAGAAACTCTTGATTCAAAGCCTAGACATATAGAATTTTATGGATCATCTATAGTTGTATAACAAATTACCTCAAACTTAGATGCTTAAAATAACAAACATTTATTATCTCTCAGTTTCTGGAACTGGGGAGTGGTTTGGCTTGGTGGTTCTGACTCAGGTTCTCTCATGAGGTTGCAGTCAAGCTTTTGGCCAGGGCTGCAGTCATCTCAAGGCTCAACTGGAGAAGGATCTGCTTTCAACATGGCTGTTAACAGGTCTCAGAAAATCTGCTTCCAAGCTCACTCACATGCTTGTTGGCAGGCCTCAATTCCTCACCACATGGGCTTCTCCATAGCCTGCCTGAATGTCCTTATGACACGGCAGCTAGCTTCCGTTTTCCTAGACCTGTGTCATGACATAGCAACTGACTTCCCCAGAGTTAAGTGTTTCAAGACAGAATGAGAGAGCATGAGTGAGTACCAAAGACAGAAGCTGCAGTCTTTTTATAACTTAATTTTGGAAGTGACATCCCATCACTTCTGCCATATTCTATTCACTAGAAGCAAGTCAATAAATGCAGTTCACACTTAAGTAGAGGGGACTTAAGCTCTACCTCTTCAGGAGAGATGTATCAGAATTCATAAATATGTCTTTAAAACTATCACAAAATTAAACAGAAGAGAAAGATTCAGAGTTCAGTTAGGTCCACTTTTGCAACTAGGTAAGGAAGAAATGAATAATCCAACAAAAGGCATTAGCTACGTCCACTGCAGAAAGTGTTCTGAGTAACCTGGCTCATTCAGCAAGAGCAAAGACTCCCCAGCTGGAATACTCTCCAGCAGGCATCAATGCCATGGCTACTAAACCAGGAAAGGCCACTTCCTAAAAGCAAGAGCAAAGTCAAATACAGAAATGTCTTCATCCACTGGACTGTATCCTTAGAAATAATACCACCCTGAAGCCTGCTCTCTTTAGGTCCTTAGGCTTCTTAATCTCCATGATAGTATATGTGGGGTTTTGCTTGTTTTTAACACTTTCTAAATTAGGGACATTTTTTAAATACAGAGAAGTACAAAGAAAAAAATAATAATCATCCATACTTCCATTTTCCAGAATTAACTGTTACTATCTCAGCATAAATGTTTTAGTTGTTTTTTGTTTTTTTAAGAAATATCCCATTTGTTTTAGGACTACCATGGCTTCTCTATTACCGAATTCTTCATTTTGATACAAATCTTGACTGCCTTCACTGTCAAGAAGTCTTTTTTTACCAAGAAGGGCTCATAGGTGCCATATTCTTGAGTCTTTTTATGTTTGAGAATGTCTTCCTGTTGCTTCTATATTTGAATGATATCTTTATGGTTTATAATACTCTTGAGTTCCACTTTCTTTCCCTGAGAAAACTGCAGATGTGGTTCCTCCGGTATTGAATGTTGTGAAGTACTTGGAGGTAAGCTTAATTTTTCCTCTCATGTAAGTGATTAGCTTTTTGCCTCTGGATGCTTGAAGAATTCTTTCTTTATCTCTAGAGTTTAATACATTTACCAGGATACAACTGGCCAAATTTTCTCAGAACACACTTAAAAAACACACTCTTAAAATCTGGAGATTTTTACTTGATTCATGAAATTTTATTGTATTCTATCTTGTTTTTAATTTAAAAAATTAAAATTGAAGTTATGTATGTATAGAAAGAGGTAAATAGTTTCTCAAGGCTTACAGTGAACAATTTCAGTCCTCTGTTCCCTATCTTCCCCATTTTTCTGTTCCCAGAAGTACCCACTTCCAATTTGTTTAGTGGATCCATTGGTAGTTATATCTACATTTCTAATAACATTCTTATATTGATATTTCTTGTTTTTTCCACTTTAGACATACTCTGTTGATTTCCCACAATGGAAGATGAGGATTTAGCTTTCTTTCATCACTAGCCCTGCCCCCACCACATACACCTATACTTCCCGTACCGTCTACCTTCCCAATATAATTGTTTCTTTATTTGAGTTAGCTCAATAATCAATGTTTAAGTTACTATGACTTCAGCTTTAGGTATTGGCTATTTACTATGAAAGAGGAAGTTTATCTTGCTTTTCTTCCCTCATGCCTCCAACACACTAACCTTCCCTCCCATCATTCCAAAGTAATTCTATCATAATTTGGCTAGATTGAGTCAGTGATTACATTATTATGCATATATAAACATTAGTTACAGCTGAGCCATTCCGTAACTAATAATTAATTTTTTTCCTGCACATTTTTGTTGTTTGCCTTGGTATTACTATCTTTTCGTTTCGTAGTTTTCTAGATACTCAACAATAATTCAACTCCAAACTCACCACCAAATGCTCAAAATTCCTCTCAAAATGTTGAGACATATCAAGTATTCTGTCATTTTCATCAGAAGAAATACGATCATCTTTAAAAAATTATTTGAGTTAGCTCAATAATTTCTGACCGATTCCCAAAGCTTTCTGACCAATTCCAGTCTGGTCTGGTTGCCATCTATATTGGCTACACAGGTGTTATTCATCATCGTCCTAGGGATTCTTTTTTTATATCCTATGTCTTTCTTTTTCTTAGTTTATGCCAGGGTTTTGGTGGTATACATCCTCTAGCAGCTTTCTGAAACAGACGCATTGAAAGCAAATGTCTGAAAAGTTCTTACTCTACTCTCACACTTGATGGATAGTTTGACTAAATACAGATTTAAGAGTTTTGAAAGCGTTCTTCCATTGTTTTATAGTTTCTGGTGTTACTGTTAAAAAGTTCAAAGCTATTTTAATTCCTTTATATATGATATCCCTCCTTCTCTCTGGAAGCTTGTAGGATCTTCTCTTTGTCATCAGAGTTATAAATTTTCACAATGACAACCTTGGTATGTTTCTTTTCATGCATTTTGCTGGGTACTATTTCCTTTCAGTCTAGAAATGCAGCTCCTTTCATTCTGAGAAATGTTTTTGATCATTTCATTGGTGATTTCTTCCCCCTTCATTTTCTCTGTTTTCTCCTTCTGGAACTCCTAATATTCAAATGTTGGACTTCCTTGCTGTTCCTTTAGCTTTCTTATCATTTCTCTATTTTCCATCAATTTGTTGTTTTATTCTGCTTTGTGAAAAAAATTTTCAAAAAATTCTTTCCAACCTTTCATAGAGTTTTTCATTTTAGTATCAGTACTTGCTTGTTCCCTAAATACTCCTTTTAAAATATAGCATTATGCTTTTGGATTCATTAATGCAATACTCTCTCATCTCTCAACAAGGGCAAGGATTTTGGTGTGTTTTGTTCACTGCTGTATCTCTAGCTCCTAGAACAGTGGCACCCAGATGCTCAAATATTAACAGTAAATCTTTCTGAGTAATGTTACCTTTTTTGGAAGTTTTCTCCCATCTGCATAATTTGTTTCTTTCAAGTTGACTTTTTTTCTGTTAATTTGTTGTTGTTTTTCTGTTTATTTGTTCTGGCTTCTAGATCTGGTAATCCTTGTTTTTTGGTCCAAATTTAAGAGTGGTACAATAAATACCTGATTGGGAGCACTGTACATGTGGTAGGCTTTGTCAACTTTGAAATTCAATGTACGACGATCCAAGGAGTGGGTTATCTGTTGGGAATTCCCTGATGACTGTATCTTTAGGTGTTTCCTCTTAGACTGTCTGCTACTATATATTCTCTAATGTCTTTGCTACACAGGTGCAAGCCTGGCTTCTACTATCCAGGAGCCAAGTGGAAGAAGGAAGCTGAGGACCTTAGAACATATATTCACTTAATTCCCATTTTCTGTATGGTACCTCCAACCTCATCTATGCCTGACGCCCCAATCCAGAAATCTATTTTACCCTCTTTGAGAATAAATCTCTGGTCTCTTGCAATAGTGGTGAGGTTTAGAGGAGGAAATCTGAGGATCTAACTACTTTTTGGACAAACTTTCAAGCAATCTTGTTTTTAGCCTCACTTCTAGATGTACTTGGTGCTGTTGAATCGTGACTCTTTCCAGAGTTTTGTAGTGCACATAAGTTGCATCTCAGCTTTCCCCACTTGTGGCTTAGCATTCAGCTTTCTCAGGTATGCTAAATTGTCCTGCTTCCAAACTTTTGTTGTTGCTGTTTCCTTTTTCATTTTCTTTAGCTTCTGGATTTATACCTTTCGAAAATCCCTTTACTGCTGTTTTAGTGGGGTTTCAAAAATTGTCATATTTACCAGTCCTTATATCTTTATATTAAAATCCTTAAATGAAATTACTTTATCAAGAAGTCCTTATATCTTTGAATACATCTTTGGTCACATGTTCAGTTCTCTATTTCAGAGATATTAACTATTTTGAATCGTCTTTGTCTTTTATTTCTATTAGCTTCTAATTTTTAATCATTTTCTTTTTCATCTAAATCACCGAATATCTCAAACTTTTCCTCTGTGTCAGTAACATCTATTCTGTCCTTTGCTATTTAAAAATTTATTAATTAATTCTGTAATTAAGTAATTTGGTCCTCAATCTATTTCCTTAGTTCTATTAATATCCTCTTTTGTCTCATTTTGTTGTTTCATCATCCCATCACTCAACTCTTATTCATTAAATTCACATTTTAATGAATTGTTTTATAGTTGTAAAGTTGTTGTATAGTTGTAAGGAACTTACAACTCTCTATTCATTGAGTTATGTTTTTTTTTAGGATAGGGTTTTTGTTTTTGCAGGGCATTTTTCTTGCTTTCATTTTATTTGCTGTATGTTTGCACAGCTGACATGCTGATTCTTTTGGCCTAGTTCATGCTTGTTTTGATATAATATAGATGAATTCCTGTCTGTCATCCTCCTGTATCTGAGACCAGCTACCATGGGGGTGCTGGTTACTTTGTATTCTATGTACTTTTCTGTGGCTTCAGGGAATGATGTGAGTGGGAGGGATGGAAGGGGTATAGGGAACACAGCTAAGGTACTGTAGAGGCTTTGTGAGTATTTCTCTTTCCTGAGATTCTGTTAAATATTCTTGTTTCATTCCACATCATTAAGGGGTTGCCTGTGTGTAGCCATTAAGATGGCTACTATCAAAAAAATAGAAAATAACAAGTGTGGTGAGGACGTGGAGAAATTGGAACCCTTGTGCACTGTTGGTGAGATTGTAATATGGTGCAACCACTATGGAAAACAGTATGGAGGTTCCTTAAAAAATTAAAAATAGAATTATCATATGCTCCAGCAACCCCACTTTTGGGTATATATCCAGAAGAACTCAAAGCAGGATCTCAAAGGAATATTTGCACACTCATGTTCATTGCAGCATTATTCACAATAGCCAAGAGACAGAAGCAACACAAATGTCCATTGACGAACAGATTTAAAAAATGTGGTATATATACACAATGGACTATTATACAGCCTCAAAAAGGAAATAAATTCTGACACATGCTACAACATGGATGAACCTTGAGGACACTACGCTAAGTGAAATAAGCCACTGACAAAAAGACAAATTCTGTATGATTCCACTTCTATGAGATATCTAAAGTAGTCAAATTCAGAGAAACAAAAAGTCGAATGGTGGTTACCAGGGGCTGGGGTGAAGGGACAAGGGATAGCTGCTGTTTAATGGATATAGAGCTTCAGATTTGCAAGATGAAAAAGTTCTGGAGATCCGTTTCACAACAATGTGAATATACTTAACACTACTGAACTGTACACTTAAAAATGGTTAAGATAGTAAACTTTATGTTGGTGTTTACCACAATTAAAAAAAAAAAGGAAGTTCTATAACACTGTCAGAAAGACAATCCTGTTCCCTGTTCTCACCATAGCTGCTTTGTCCCACTCCTATGCAGAATTTGACTCCACCTTGGCAAGAAAAGACACAGGGAAAAGCTAAGCTTGTGTGGTTAAGAAAGCCTCCATCCTATCTCATGAGAAAACATTCACATACTTTTGTCAATTTCACACACTACAGTCTAGATTTCATTCCCTCTTTCCCATCCACTGGGTGGTTTTGTTTTGTTTTAAGACACAGAGAATTGCCAAAAAAAACCCCCAAAAAAACCCAAAAAAACCCTAGGGCTTACTTCTGTAGGATGGATCCCTTAATGACCAGCTCTTCATCCAAGTCTGCTTCATTAGCCACGAAGAGCAGCCTCTTTCCTGTGCTGTCCACTCCAATGAAGTCACGCTGCTCCACTGAATCATACAAAAGAAGGAAAATCAAAGAGAGCCGTGTGCCCTGCCTGCATGACTAAGTCAGGGGATAGGGCACCTGCTCATGTTGCTCTTGGAACCAAATACAGAATTGAGTGTTATGCGGCACATACTCACCACAATGTTTAAAATATGGCCAAAATCTTTTTGTATTGCTCTAAAGGATACTATTAGGTTAACTGGTGAAGTTTGAATAAGGTCTGTAGATTAAAGTATTATACCAATGTAATTTCCTGTTTTAAGAGACTGTCCTTTTTGGGAGAGAGGCTGGCAGGGGAAAGATACACTTTGATGTATTTGAAGGCAAAAGGAATCACGTCTGCAACTTATTCTCAAACAGCTCAGAAAAATAATAATTATATATATAACATATTGTATATACATAGTGTATACATTGAACACATACTATAAGAGAGAAAGAGAGAGAATGATAGAGCAAATGTTAACATTTGGGGAATATGGGTAAAGGATATATAAGTTTCTTGTACTATTCTTGTAACGATTCTGTAAACGTAAAATTATTTTAAAAATAAAAAGTTGTGGAGGTGATGAATATGTTAATTAGTCTCATTGTGGTAATCATTTCACAATGTCTACATATATCAAAACATCATGTTATACACCTTAAATGTATATAATTTTTATTTGTCAAAAATAAAGAAAGAAAAATTAAAAATAAAAAGTTAAAAAAAAAAAGAGGGGCAGTCGAGATACTGATTAGCCAACTAAGTGGATGAACCACACGCTGTGCATGGCACAGAAATTTGGAAAGTACAACGAGGAATTCTTTCTCTGCAAATAACCTAAGTCTACTCACTGTGAAAATGGGAATAACGTAATTTATGGACATCCACATTTAGCCAACATTAACTAGATTTTATGCTGTGCATGGGAGCATTCAAAGAAAATAAAAGGCATCTTTACTAGATATGGAGAGTTCTCTGGTAGACAATGATCTTACAGGCTGCCATATTATTGCTGTTTTCTGTGTCATATTTCTTATCCCAACCAGATTATAAACTCATCAAAGGCAGGCTTATGATCTCTTTAAATCTCCCATAACAACTAGTATAGTGTTGGACACTTAATAAAATTTGCTACTAACATCTGTAAAGTATCTATTTAGAGCCTACAAAAGCATTTTCACATGGAGGCAACATAGCATAATGATTAAGAGAGCTTCTGAAGCTATGCCCCTGGGTATTAATCCCACTTACTATTTGTATGTCTTAGCGAAATACTAAACCTCTCTGTTTCTGTTTCATCTGTAAAATGGAGATAATAATAGGGCCTACCTCACAGGGTTGTTATGAGGACTAAATGAGTTAATATTTGTAAAGCTCTTATAATAATGCTATTAACTAAAATAGTGCTATTAAATGTTCAAGCTAAGAAATTAAACAAAATACATGCTCTCATTTGATTCTGACAACAACCAAATAAGCAATTATTTAATACCTCTTTGAAAAGGAGAAACTGAAGTTTGAGCTCTAGAAAAAATGATCTCTCTAAAGATGAATTTGTCTGCCTCCTACCAACAGACAATGGCTACTATATAACTGAACATGCTTCACTGTTGGCTGCAGCTGCTTGTATACCTAGAACCAAATGTATTACTCAAGTGTACAATGTGTTTAGCTCAGGTGCTTGAAAGCATTCATTCCTTCAGATGGTCTCTGGTCATCTCATCACAAGCAGTGTTTGAATCTGAATAGGGAGAAACTATCATAAGAAGTTACATGTAGGGCCGGCCCCGTGGCTTAGCGGTTAAGTGCGCGCGCTCCGCTACTGGCAGCCCAGGTTCGGATCCTGGGCGCGCACCGACGCACTGCTTCTCTGGCCATGCTGAGGCCGCGTCCCACATACAGCAACTAGAAGGATGTGCAGCTATGACATACAACTATCTACTGGGGCTTTGGGGGGAAAATAAATAAATTAAAAAAAAAAAAGTTACATGTAGATTTTTCAATAACCAAGACTAGTGAACTCCAAAGAAGGAAGGGTATAAATAACACCAGTTTGAAGGTAAGTTTTACAGAGAATTTCAAATGCCACACAGCAGCTTTGACATATATCAATTCATCCATTACACGGAAACTTGAGAATATAACAAAGTCTGCAAAGGTCTGATTATGAGCCAACATTTTAAAAAGAAACACAGAGATGTTATTTTTGGATATAATTTGGAGTGCTTACCCTATCCAAGTACTTAGGCCTACAAAAACCTTGAATTACAAATGTCCTGGGAGCAATAATTTCCAAAAGTAAAATTTTCAGCTATGTTGCACTTCAGTCACATTCCCCTCACTCTCAGCGCCACCCCCCTTGTATTTGCTTCTTTGCAGCTACCATAGTAACTGGGACCTCAGAATATGATACAAATTTTAGAAACTTGGAAAGGTTTCTTTCTGTTCTGCTTTAACAAAGTGAATTCCGCTTTGGGAGCAGAATAGGTAACATCAGAATGTCCATCCTAAAAGAAAGACTACACAAATAAGGTTAAGACAGCAGCTGAAACTATGAAATTCCATTTAAAAAAATTCTGTCATGATCAACTATTCATACTTTTTCCTAGTTTTTTACTTCTCTGACCGACCCTTCTGTCTCTTCTATAGTCACTTACTTATCCATTCATTCATTCAACTAATAAATATATTTGTGTACCTCCCCTGTGACAGGCATCATGTTTGAGTGGGGAATTCTAACTCATAATTTTATGAGGCCAGCGTGATCCTGATGCCAAAACCAGACAAAGATATCATGAGAAAGAAAAACTACAGGCATATTCACTTATTATATAAATAAACAAGGATCCTTAACAAATATTAGTAAATCAAAACTAACAGTGTATATAGTAGATTTTAGAGGGTTACAAACTTGTTGCAGCTCCTCCCGTCAAGAGGTAAGGTCTAGAATGTAAAATGGTATAGCTACTGTGGAAAACAGTATGGTGATTCCTCAAAAAATTAAAAATAAAACTACCATATGATCCAGCAATCCCACTTCTGGGTATACAGTCAAAAGAATTGAAAGCAGGGTCTTGAAGAGATATTTGTACACCCATGCTCACGGCAGCATTATTCATAAAAGCTAAAACGTGGAAGCAACCCAAGTGTTCATTGAGAGATTAATGGATAAGCAAAATGTAGTATATACATACAAGAGAACATTATTCAGCCTTAAAAAGGAAGGATATTCTGTAATATGCTACAACATGGATAAACCTTGAGGACATAAGACTAAGTAACATAAGTCTGTGACAAAAAGACACATACTGTATGATTCCACTTATATATGGTACTCAAAGTAGTCAAAATCATAAACACAGAAAGTAGAATGGTGGTTGCCATGGGCTGGGGGCAGGGAGGAACAGGGAGTTATTGTTTAATGGGTATAGAGTTTCAATTTTACAAAATGAAAAGAGTTATGGAGATGGATGGTGGTGATGGTTGCACAACATTATAAATGTATTTAAAAAGTGAACTGTACACTTAAAAAAAGATGGTAAATTTTATGTCACGTGTATTTTACCACAACAAAAAAATCTGAAGGAAAAAAAGTGCTCCCAGGAAAAAAAGAAAGAGGGAAGGTCTAGTTTCCCATCCTTTATATCTAGGCTGGACTGGTGACTAGCTGTGACTAAGTGCAGAGGAAGTGACACAGTGTGAGTTCTGAGTTTAGGCCTCAAGAGGCCTTGGAGCTTCTTCTCTTACTCTCTTAGAGCCTGCTGCTGCTGTCATGTGAATAAGCCTGGCTAGTCTCCTGTGTGATAAGAGACTAGACGGAAAGAGAAACTCAGCTGTCACAGCTGAGGCCCTAGACATATTAGTGAGGCCACCTGTGGTATGCAGGCTCTGAGAATGATAACTCCCTCCTGGTATTCACACCTTTCTGTATACCCTCCCCTTGAGTATGGGCTGGGCTAGCAACTTGCTTCTCACCATCAGAAGGTGGCAAAAGTGATGAGATGTTACTTTCATGATTAGGTTACATGAGTTCATAACTTCTGTCTTGCTAGATGGTTTGATGAAGCAAGCTGCTATGCTGGAGATGCCAAAGTAATAAGGAATGAGGGCAGCCTCTGGCCAAAAGCTAGCTAGAAACTGAGGCTCTCAGTTCAATAGTCCTCAGGGAACTGAAATTCTGCCAGTAAACAAGGGAGCTCTGTTAGAAGTAAATCCTACCCTAATTGAGCCTTAAGATGAGGCCTCAGCCCTGGATGACACTTTGATTTCAGCTTTGTGCAAGACTCTGAATCAGAGGACCCAGCTAAGCCATGCCTAGATTCCTGACCCACAGTGTTGTTTTAAGATGTTAAATTTATGGTAATTTGCTACAAAAAAATAGATAACTAATACACTAGCAGCAATAGATAACTGATACACTAGCTGATATCACTTAACAGAGATGAGCCAAATCAGTTATACCAGGCCAAGCTGCCAACCTATTGAATCATGAGCAAGTAAATGACTGTTGTTTTAAGCCACTAGTTTGGGGAGGTTTGTTGTGCATAAAAACTAACTGATACAATGTGTAAAAGGGTAATAAGCCATGATCAAGTTAGGTTTATCCAGATATACAAAGATAGTTTAAATAGAAACTCTATAATTGTAATTCATCACATTATTAGAGTAAAAGAGAAAAGCCGTATGATCACTTGAAGGCATGCAGAAACAACATTTGATAAAATTAATATACTTATTAAAAAAACTCAATAAATTAGAACTAGAAGAGACTTCATCAATCTGATGACAAGTAGGTATAAAAACCTGTAGTAAACATTATTTTAAATGAGAGATGTTGAAAATATTCCTTTTAAAAACAGGAATGAGGGGCCAGTCTGGTGGTGCAGGGTTTAAGTGCGTGTACTCCACTTTGGCAGTCCGGGGTTCGCAGATTCGGATCCCGGGTGCGCACTGATGCATCACTTGTCAGGCCATGCTGTGGCAGCGTCCCATATAAAGTAGAGGAAGATTGGCATG